ATTTGTCTTACGTAGGGCAGCTGAGCAGTGTAGTGGAAATAGTTGAAAGAGCTTTTTTGTTGTAGGCAGAATTAATAACATGCTAGGAGCCTAGATGTCTTGGTGTCCAGCCGTTAACTGGATGTTATATATGATGGGCCACTGATCCTCTCTAGACCTAAGGTTCTTCACTGTTCTGTAAGGACAGGGTTAAAATGAATGAGAGTTCAGCTCTTGAGAATTATGGCTATTTGTCTCAAGTACATTCTGAGATGGTCTCTGGCTTCAAGAAATTGTAGCCTTTTCTTCTAGGTTTCTGTACTTCTGTTTAGCTCAGTTCTGTAAGTAACCTGTGCCTGTTTTTAAATGAAAATTCCACTGAAAAATATACAGAAAGGAAAAGTCTCCTTCAGTCCCATCCTCCGAGAAATAATAATTCTTAAAATAGGTATATAATTGTCTGAACTTATTTCTATGCATATAGTAGAAGTTTTGTGGTATAGGCACAGAGATGGATGTGTCCATATAGCATATGTATGTATGTGTTTATACAGAGACATATATATTACTCGTACTGTACCAAAAGCTGCCTTTTCTTTTTTCATGTAACAGTTTGAGATAATGGGTGTCTTTCTGTGTCAGTGGGTATATTTTTCTTTTTAAAATGGCCCCTAGAATATCATTAATTAAATATTAGATACACACCAAAGGCATATTTTGACCAAACAGTCAAATATTAAATTGCATTTAGCCAGAGCAAAAACTAAATGTCATTGTCACAGAATGGACATTTGCTACAGAAGGAAAAAAATCTGGAATGTCAACAGAATGATTAAAATGTTGTTATTGAAGTTTTGAGTAGCTGGATTTCATTTTCTCAGTACACATCGTTGCTCCTTGTGGCTGCAGTCATTACACCATTCATCAGCGACACTAACTAGGTGGAAGTGGGCGAAGGAGCAGGACACTGGCCCAGTCTGCCAGAGGCTGGAGGTGGGGCTGATGGTGCCCTGCAGCAGTTACACTTGATACTCCCTCGGGAGCAAGGCAGTGAAGACCTATTTCCTCCTCAACCCCAAGACTTGAGGTTTGCGTTCAGGTCACCAGTTTCATTAGTGGAATCATGGAAGTTGAAGCACAGGGATGGTTCAAAACAGGGTATTTGCAGAAGCCCACTTTGGATTGTTGCTGTTGCAGAGATCTGTTTTTGTAACATCTTTCCTCTTCCTAGACTTAGTTGCTTCAAAAGCCTGCCATTGGCTCTGGAAATATAACAGTAGAGCAATGTAGTTGAATTTCACGATATACAAAAGTAATTCCAGTGTCATCTGTGACATCTGCCATTGCACACACACCAACCTCAGCACTGTTACTAGTACAGAACATGAATTTTTATTATCTAGGGAAAAAATGTAAATTCTCGAGTACATCTGCTTTTCTAACCACCCCTCACCCCTGTTTATTTTGTAGATAGTAAATATATTGCCTTTTTTTTTTTTTTTTTTTGAGAACAGACAAGGTGGATGTATTGAAATACCCTGTGGGGTGGGATGGAAGAAATGCCTCTGCACGGGAGAGGGCTCTCTTTTCTACTGTTCTCAGGCTTTCTTACTTGGGGCACCCGTCCACACCAGTTACCTGCTGGGATGTCGGCTCAGTGTTGGCTTAGATGCAGTGTGTCCTGGCCAGTTTCTGCATTCCTGGAGCTGGGCTGGGGTGGTATATTACCTTCTTAATAAAGAAGAATTGGAGTCAGCCTGCCTGCTATTTTGATATCCTCATCTGCAGAGTAGACTGGAGTAGGATTTGGGCTGCTGTAGTTGACCAGGCAGCCCACAGCGAAGGCACTAGCTCCCCCCCACGTGGTGTGGATGAGGTGCTGTGTAAGGACACAACAAGGTGGGTCCTTGGTCACATACAGGCATGGTTAGTCTGGCTGAAGAAGGAGGCAGAGGAAGTGGTGTCCATCTTTTTATGATTTCTATTTCCTTTATCACGGTGCCCTATCATTACTTTCTGCCATACCTCCGGTCGGTGTGACCCCGGCTCTCCACGCGCCTGTCCCCTGACTCATCATCACATTTGTTCCCTTGTCAGCATTGGTGCCACTCGCTGTTCTTAATGGCTCCCATGCGCTAGTTCTTCGTTGGATTCACCTTGTTAGTGTGAGAAATCAAGAACTTGTTCAGCAAGTGAGTAAGGCAGGAGCAGGATTGAACGCATCGTTAGTGCACAGCTCTGTCTTGCTTAAAGTCTCTGTTTCTGTGTGAGCAAATGCCTGTGGTACCAGACACTGGAGCAGCACATGTGTGCAGAACCATCTTGTTACGCATGTTGTGGAGTAGTTCAGGAAGAATTGGGCACTGAATTTTCCAGAAGGATTTGGTTTTAGGATTTCATGGTTTTGAGAAGTCTGGAGCACTTCTTGTCAGTGAAGGAAAAGGAAGTTGGCATTCTCTACTCATTTTAACAAGCTCCCTTTCCCCCAGAATTATCCTCTATGTTTTATTCACTAGGGACTTTTGAAAGCATTTTAAGATGGTTATTGTTTTGTGTTTGGTTACTATAAGCAAAACATGTTTTGGGGATTTCCCTTTTCTCTAACATTTCCTTTGCATTTTTTTTTTGTGGAGATATTTTGTATTTTTTTTTATAGGTATAGTTTGTGACTCAAAGAAAGCTTCATGGATGTTATTGTGCTTTTATGGTTTCTCATGAAATTTCTACATGCAGCATTTCAAAATCGATTTCTGATAACTCTAAGATTTTAAGCTTTGTGGATCTTTTTCTACTCTCATTTTTCCCCCATTCTTAGGTTTCTGTTATTTGGGTTCATCTCCTGATATGCATGATGGTTATTACTGATCTTTGGACATCATATAGATAAAAACATTGAAGGGACAATTTTAAGCTACTCATAATGTCATTTTCCTCCTAAAAAGATTTACTTTTGCTTCTTGTAGGCAGAATCAGAGATCGAACTGATTCACACCTGCGCCTCGGACCCTGTGAGGGCTTCCTGGCTTCTAAGAGCCATCTTCGGGGGTCCCACCTGAAGGCCTGACTTTCTCACCCCGGGGCCCTGACCCAGTCCCATAGGGCTGGCAGAAACCCCTGCCACCACCATAGCCTGTAGGGTTGTTCATTTATGCTGTTTTCACTCTTTGGTATCACCTTTGGAAATTGACATTGCCTCAAAGGGAAGAGTTCCTGTAAATGTTAATGTTAACTCTGCTTCTCTTTCCTGTGGGACCCTTGTCCCACATGTCCTTGTTGCTTTGATAGTGCTCTCATGTCTCCAGATAATTTTTTGATCTAGTGTCCCCAAGCGTGGTCAGCAACGGGATTGGTTTGCAGCACGAATTAGCCATTGCTGGAATCTGACCTGCATTATAAAAAGTGAATACATAGAGCATGCTTTGTATACATTAAGGTTTGGTGTGATTATATATCATAGTAATCTGTGTAATCATAGGATCCTGCATAACACAAAAGATTAGAAATGCCAAAAATAACATTGAATAAGTCATTCTGCTATCTGGCCAAGTTTTAAATACCTACTATGTTGATTTTTAACACACAAATACATGTGTATGCATACACGCGTAAACACACACACACACACACACACACACACACACACACACACACTGGCTGCTCTCATTTCTCATCTTGTCCTGTTTTTATATTGGTGGGTTGCTTTATTCTGGTGTATTGAAAAAGCTCTTTGTATATAAGAGATATTAACTGTTTGCCTATATATGCTTTAGATATTCAATACCAGCAAAAATGCTTCGCATAATTGCTGCATTTTAAAATTTACTGGACTTTTTGGTGGCCTTTTCATAGTTAACATTTTGATTTTGCACAAATGCCTATAAAGTACACACAGACTTCCAGTATACACACACATAGTGCACACATACAATACCTAATGCAGTCATATCCTTAGTATCACAATCTCAGGAATCAGAACCGTCTGCCGGTGCAGACGACTGACATTGCCCTTTCTCGCCATAGTGTTGGCCTTTTGCTTTGAATTTGATCTTCTCAGCTGTTAATTCTGTGATTCCTATGTTTTAGAAGTAGTGCTGTGGCTTAGGTTCTCATTGTCTTTGTTTCTTATGGATTCTTCACTTTCTACTGTAATTCAGAAGTAAAGTTGGGCTCCATGGTTAGATTACCTGGGAGGTATCACGGGAGGAGGAGGAAGAGGGCCCATGCTGGGTAAGTAGGATATGAATGGAAGAGGGTATGAGTGGGCAGAGGGTGTGGGTCTTCCAGACAAAGATAAAAAGGGCGAGGATGGAGTAGGAAGTGCTTTGGACTGTGAAGAGTCAGACTCTGGATTAGAATATCCAAGCAATAGGAAAGTAATGTGGGTTAGTGCGGTGGGGCCAAAACTTGGAAGATACGGAAACTTTGGCAGACAAATAATTCTTAGTTTATAAACAACCTGGTCTTAAAGCAAACAATCAGATGTGCACACATCTGTAGATGCGCTGTGGCCCAGCGGGCTGCCTGGACCACCTTCCGTGCTTGTTTCTGTTGATCTGTGTGTTCATTACCCTATGGCAAGGACTCACCATGACTTACATTAACCTAATGCACATTTGGGATTTTATTTTGCATATGACATTCTAAGCAGGTGGTTTTTGTAACGATGTTGAGGTTGGTAGCCTCACCTCTGTAATAGGGTGGTTCCATCCAGAGCTGTTCTCCTGCTTCCTTCTCCTCTGTCTGCTGTACTCACCCCGCCCCGCATAAAAACCGCAATTATCATCACATTCATTAGCATCCCGCAAGCCTGAGCTGTGCAGTCGTCCTTCCAGAAGCCCGTGGAATGGTGATTTTCCTGAGAGTCTAGTGAGATAAGAATGCAGCTACCAATGATATTTTTGAGGGCCTATGTGCACCGCTTCACTGCACCCAGGGTGGCGAGCACTTTATTCCCAAAAGGAAATTTAGAGCATGGGCCCCCTTAGGCTTTTGCATAAAACTGTATGTTTCTTCTGGCCTAGGGGACTCCTTCTCACAGTTCCGGTTTATTGAGGAAAAGGACTGGGATGGCGAGGCTTCGTGTCCAAAACAGGTAAGACGGGGGTTTGTCTGGAGTGTGGGTCCGCTCTTCTCAAGGCTCATAATCTCTTACACTAGGGCTGGCACGAGGTCTTCACCTAGAGGAGCCTAGTAACTCAGGTGCAGTTGGTCTCAGCCACCTAAATAAACATTCAGAAAATTTTCAGTGCATTTAAATCAGGCAGGTTCATAAATCCAGACTTGGCCTCTGTGTGGGCCCAGCTCTGCGAATTGCTCATGCAGATCAGGTAGGACTATAGTTAGATTTTTGAGGGGATTACTTTGACATTTGGCTTTTTTTTTCTTTTCTGTGAAAATTCCCTCTAGGGTTGAAAATGAAATTTTTTTCTACCACACTCTTTGGTGTTAGATGAGCAAGTCCTTGACAACTTTAAATAACACTTCTTCTTTAATTAGAATAAAGCTATAAAATACGAACGAACAGCATAGAAGCCTTTCACTGTGTCCATAAAGTCCAAATGTTAATGTGCTTTATGATTATGCTGTATTTTCTCCCTAAGGCATTTTGGGTTTTTTCTAGGCAGGGTTGCAATGACTCCTCCATACAGGAGATGACAGGGATTCTGACCTATTTAAAGTCATGGGAGAGCTGGTCATGACTTGTCATATGCTGCTCATCCACAGGGCTAGCGCAGGCTGTCTGCTGCATGGCTATACCTGCCTCCGCCCGCAGCTTCATTTGGGGGCTAAGCAGTGACCTGAACCCAGAATTCAGGTCCCCATGCCACTCTTACTGCTTGTGTGCACTACAAGGGGCTCATTTCTCTCAGGGCTGGGGTTCTCTTTAGTTATTTGGGGTGGCATTTTGAATCATGCAGTCCATGGGGAGGGAAATTATTTGTAAAATGGCTGCTTATCACCTTACAAAGAGTATGTGATATAATGTAGGAGTCAGGAATCCAAACTAATCTTGGCCGGAGTGACAATACAGGAAGTACTGTTTAGAATTGTAGGACATGTTGGCGACAGACCAATTGAGGTCACCGAGGAAGGGCTTGCAACTCATCTTTGAACTCTCAACCATGTTGGTGATCAGAGAATATCCTGCCATCACATAATTTGAAGCTGTTAAGTTCAAGTCACCAAGCACTTGCTGTTGACTAGATATTTTATTGGATGTGAGTAAAGAAAGATGAATAAGGCTGAGGCCATGCTTGCTCCTCACCCGGGGCCACTGACCTTAGCATAACGATGACATGGAGTAGATGACCAAGAAATAATTGTGCAGTTTATGAAATATGAAACAAAAGAAATGGCGTAATAAATGAGTTAACACAGTGCTGTGGGAGATGGCTACTTCAAGCTGGAAGTGATTCAGAGCAGAACTGTGGGGAAAAGATCACACGCATGGCCCTTGCTGAGTGGGTCAGAAGCACCCCTCACTCACGTGTGTGGGGGGCTCACAATCCTGTAGGTCTTTTCTGTGCTCCAGTTTCACAGCCGGTCAGCGGCTGCCTGCCTCATCCTCTGCCAAGACCTCATCTACCCGCAAGGCACCTTCTCAGCATGGCTCTGAGCGGGTCGCTAGGTAGGTCCCATCCAGGGGGTGACCAGAGAATGAGGAGTTTGGGGGTGGGGGTGGCTGTGTTTACAGGAAGGGAGTGTGGCCAAGCCCAGGGGTCCCAGGAGGGGCTCCTCTCTGGGTGTGTGCCTGCCAGCACCAGCAAGCAGGCTGTTCCTTGTTTTCTTCAGGGGGTGGTTTAGCTGTCAGTGAGAGAGGAGACTTGGGAGACAAGCTGAATGTGAACCCTAGTCCTGTGGCTTGGACAAGCTTCTTTCCTTCTCTTGTTCTCATCTCTATGAAGAAACCACTAATATGATAACTCAGATGTAATGAATATTATACTGGGTCATAAGTTCAAACTTTCATGTAGCTTCTGACATGAAGCAATCAAAATTTGTTATTTAAAAAGATTTGTTTAGCAAAAAAAAAAAAAAAAAAAGGAAATGGCTAGGTTTTACCTCAGCCGTACTGGCCAGGAGGGATGGAAGGGACTTGTGGTAGGAAGTGGGCAGACTGACTGGGAGGGTGTTATGTTGGGCAAATGGGGAAGGCTGGGGCCTACCAGCGTGGGCAGTGGGTTGAGGTAGATGGACTTTGGCAGCGGTGTCCCTGACCAGCTGTGAGGCAGGACAAGAGAAACCTGCAGAGATGTGGGGTCCTCGCTTGGGGAAGAGCAGGAAGAAGGCAAGTCTAACTGCACATTGAGTTACAGGTATTGGTAGTTCACATCCAAAACTGAATTAATCTTCCCCATCAAAACCATTTCCTGGTGCACTTAACTCTAGTTAGGAGACCCCACTAGTTCTCTTTTTTCTTGCTTGTAGGGGAGAGGAACAGAGGAAGGGGAAGACATGTCTGTAGTCCATCTGTTTGTATGTAAACTTTCATGCCTGCATCTTTGTGCCAGCATGACCAGTAACACAGACAACAGAGAAAGTGGGGAGCAGGAGCTGGGGTGTGGAGTGTGAGTGTAGGTAGAGACCTGGAAGGTGTCCAGACCAGGTCCTGGAATCACCTCCATTTCTTTGTGGCTCACCTGGCAGTCAGGGTCCCTGCTTTAGCTGTGTTGGTCCCCAAGACCATCCATGAGTGGGAGTTTCCTGCCTTTTCTTGAAGACTTGTGAAGAGGGACGGGGTAGGAGGAAACTTCCTTGGGTGAAAAAAATCCTTTAAAAAAAAAAATCCCCTGAAGCTGTTTCATTATTCCACTTTTCACTTTTGTCCTTACTCAGTATAACTTCCCTGAGCCACTGCTGAGTGCTGGCGAGACGCAGTGGTTCCTGAATGCCCGGCGGAGAGGGGCACAGATTCCTAGGACCCATACCAGCCCCCTCCCCGCAAGAGTCCAGTTTTGTGAGCGAGGCCCAGGAATCTGCGTCATGGAAAACGCCCTGGCATTGGCCACAGTGTCTCTGGCACTGGCGTGAAGAGTGCACGAGTCTCGAGGCGGCTGGTCTGACTGAAGGCCTTGTCCCCTTGGCTGCAAGGTCAAGCTTTTGGCAGGTTTTCTCCCTTCACTTGGGCACCTTTACACTCAGAGTGTGACAGGGCTCCTAGAGGGAAAGGAGCCTGCCCAGGCAGAGCTGGGAACACACTGACAAGGAGAGGTGGGATGGAGGGCTCTGTCATGACAGTCAGGCTGCCCCTCGAGCCGACGTGAGGGGCACTGGACACAGCGGGCCGGGCTGCTGCGGGTGCAGCTGGGGACTGGGCTGTCCAGGCGAAAGTAACCTACCAACTACTGGACACCATGTTGCAAAACGCTAATTCGTGGATTAACTTCCCATTAGAATGTTTAAAACTTCTGTTTTCTGTGAAACACACTTCTATGAAAAACACACTTCAGCTATTGGTGTGTACAGTCTGCAACTGAACCCTGTGTGTCAACCTGGTGACTTCGCAGATGGTGGTGTCTGTTGGCAGGTTCTCGGCTAAGGACACAGGGGCATCTCGGTGCAGGAGCTCAGCAGCATTGTGCAGGGGATGCAGTGGCTAGGTCTTGGCTGAGGGGAGGGACTGGCAGTGTGCGAGGAGACCTTCCCGCAGCAGACGTCGCCGGGCTCACTGCGTCACAAAACAGCCTTGAGTGCAGCCTGCTGCTCCCAAAGCTTCCTGTGGTCGCACAGGGACTTCCTTGTGTGTGACACACCCTATTGTCAGGTTGCACGTGCTGGAGGACATCTGGACTCTTAGCCTGAGCCTGCCCATCTCTGCTCCTGCCCTGGAGCATGAACATTGCTTCCCAGAGAGTTCATCTACCTTGAAAAAAGGCAAGGTGTGGAAGGCATACCATTCTTCGGCTCCCCATGCACTTCTTTTATGGGGAGACCAGTTCGAGTGGGTGGGGACCTTGTGCCAGCGGCTCTTTCTCTGCTCCCAGTCACTGCTGTCACACACCCTACGCTTTCTGGAACTACAGTCAAGACTGGGCCACATGGCCTCTTGAGTTCCCTTGTGACTTGAGCATGGTGCCTAGCTGAGCCTGTGAAGGTCCTCAGTAGACGAGAGGGTTGGCATGGTGGCTGCTGTAGGGGAGGCCGGTGTGACCACCTTGGGTGACAGGGTACCTACGAGTAGCTGTTAGTGAGCCAGCTGACTGTCTGGCATGTTTTCTCAAATACTGTCCACCTGGAAAGTCATTGCATGGAACGGACTTCGATGGAGGGAAAGGGAGCCAAGGGAGTACTCCTTGGGCCCCGCGAGTGGCAGGGAGGTTCCCATCTTCTACTTCATGCTTGGAAGAGAAGCCTGCACCCCCAACCCACCCTCCACTTTGCAGCTCTGCCTGCCAGCCCATCTCACTGCCCACATGGCCCTTCACTGCAGAAGGCTCGCCATCTGAATTTGGGGAGCGAGCCACTTACATTCCATTAAGTCTCTTTAAATTTGCCAGCAGTTCCTGTGTGGGGTGATGACCCCAGCTGCAGCTCTCACAGTGAGCGGTGGCTTCAGGCCTGGTGTGCGCGGGGAGGCTAGAGCTCCTCCTCTCCATGCGGTCTGTGTTCTTAACCCAAGCTGAAAGTAACTCCAGTGGGTGATCTGTTTGCAGGGACTTGCTAACATCTTCTGGCCTTTCATTACTAACAGGTTGTGCTTCATCACCTGAAAAACATGTGTTTTTTCAATATAGAATTCAGCATTTTATGTGGACTGTGAGTCGCTGGTCCGAGCCCTTCAAGAACTGCCCCTCTCGCTCCGACTCAATGTTGCTGCCGAGTTGGTCCAGGTAAAGCCACTGAAGTCGCTTTGAGGCTGGTGTGCGTCGGGCGGCAGAGAGGGAACACCTTCTGCAGGTGTCCAGGCTTGGCTTTGCCTTTTGTAAAGTGGGTAGCTCTGGGCCAGCCAGCATTTTAGTTTATTTTTTATTTTATTTGTGCATACAGAACTGGGGTACAGGCCAGAGGTGCAGGGGCCTGGATTCATCAGAGACAGAGTGGGGATTCATGAGACAGGTGCAGGATTCATCAGAGACAGAGTGGGGAGCAGAACAGGATGACTCACAAAGTACACTGCTGAGGGGAGCAGTGGGCGGGTCAGGAGAGGTCTGCCACACCATGTGGGTCAGCTCCAGGGCCGGGGATCGAACTCATGTGGAAGTGGCTTTAGCTTCTTAGTGCTGTGCTTTAACCCGCTGTGCCACCAGGGAAGGCCTTTTTT